TCTTCTAAAACAAAATGAAAGCTTGAAAGGAATATGGAAAAATCTTTTCAAAAGGGTGTCATTTACCTCGACATCGATCTATATTACTAGAGTGTGGAGAATGCAGAAAACAATTCAGCAGAAAAGAATACCTTAAGAAACACCGCTGCAAAGGCACTAAGCCCGCTGAGGAAGGGGACAAATCCCCAATGGAAATTGACACACTACAATCCATTATAGATGATACCATTGGAGATTTAGACCATTCCACCCCGACCATCACCTGCTTGTATGGTTTTTTTCCTGTCAGTTACTCACTTTTTCCTTTTTTTTCTAGAAAACTAATTCATCCTTTTTTTTAGGGTCAATGACTGTCAAGGGTAACTATTTTTTATGACAGCAGATGGGTCTCATTTTTTTTTGTCCCATCCGAATGACTAGCATCACTTTCCTTGTCAACCGCAACGGTGCTACACAAAGTTTGTCATTATCAAAATGAAAACAAAAAATTAATTATTTTTTATGCTACTTGTGAAAAATGTTTTCCAAATACAGTCAAAAGTTTGTACAATATATAGCAAATGTAGAAAAATGCTTAATTCTTAAAGCTCTTAAGAAGGCAGAGGTCAGATGCCAAATTTTCCTTTCCCCCACCCATCAAATATCCTGTGTTAATTAAGAAGTCTGGAGAAGACAGAGGTCAAAGGTCATTCTGTCCCAGAGGATCAGTGGTTGTCTCCACAATATTGACATCCTTCTCCATCATTCGTATATTTTCAGGTAGAAAAGAGCAAAATCTGCTTATTACAAGTCTTTCTTTAGGCCTGAAATGTTATCTAAATTATCAATTAGAAGACATTAATTAACTTATCCAGACCATAATAAACTCTCGATGTCAAGGCTAGCCTTCAATGTTGGCTGGATTAGATTCCTATACGCCGCTTAACGGCCATTGATAATTAAATCAAAACAGTGGATAATCAAGACTATGCAGTTTATATTAATGATTTTAGTAATGATGACCGAGACTATGCGAAAATTTCATCCGCTTCGTTCTCGGCTCATAGTAGATCAATTTGACTGAAATTTTCAGCAAATTACCTTTACACTATCTAGTTTTTAACTATTATAGCGAGAACTGCCATCTCTTTATCTTATCTCCCATAATGTATCTTTAAGCAGCAAAGTGAATTCAAATCCAGTACATATCGCAGGTTAGCGATGACATTTAGAGTCGATTATGGTCTGAATAAGTTAATTAATGTATAATTAATAATGTAGATAACATTTCAGGCGCGCCAATGTGTACACGGGACCTCAGTTTTCCATCTCATCCAAATGAATAGACAGCTGTCCTTGTCAGGCAGTCTCAGAAAGACTGTAGAATATCACTGGGAATACAGAGGATGAATATTTTCCTTTCAATATGTTTTATAACCAACCATATTGTGTTGTTTGTCGTCAGATATATTATGCAAATAATATGTGGGAAAAAACGTATTCTAAATACAGTCAAAAGTTTGTACTATAATTTTTTTTTTTATTTTCAGTTGTAGTAAAATACTTAATTCTTAATCCCTTTATCCATGAGATCATTATTAAAAGATTTCCATGGTTATTCTAGTGGGGGGGGGGGGGAGAGAGAGAAAAATGAAATGGGGTTTAACGTCCTACTGTTCTGCTCCTATTCTGGGCTAATGAAGATGGGCATACACCATACAGTGTGCTATGAGGGGCATTTTGCCCGGGCAGCAGCACTATCGCCTTATCTTATATTGAATTCCAACTGCCAAGGGATCTTTTACGTGCATGCCAATGTGTACACGGGACCTTGGTTTTTCGTCCTATCCAAACGACTAGACAGCTGTCCTTGTCAGGCCCTCTGTCCTGTATCACTGACAAGGGGAAACCACGCTGGAAAATCTGGATGAACTTTCTCAGCCAATGCAGGGATCGAACACCCGACCTCCAGGCTGGCGAGTCAGCATCTTACCCACGTGATTCCCCGAGAAAGCGAGAGAGAGAGTTTAACTCCACTCGACACAAACTATGTCATTTTGGGACTAACATATGGTTCACAAGCTGATAAAACAATGTGGACAAGATGGCAATAACATCCACGACACCAGAGGACAACAACAATTCGATGGACTTCAAAGAAATTATTCTTTCCTACTTATCAGACTTGAAATTGTCAAGATAACTGTATCTTTAAAAAATTAATCAAAGCAAATATTTCTAAATGTACCAGTCTTAATGTACAAGATATTATTTCTAAATGTATACCAGATAATATTTTAAATGTAGGTACTAGATAATGTTTCTAAATATAGGCCTACAAGATTGAATAGTTTCAATTGTACCAGATAATATTTAGTTGAAATGATTTAAATTTGACAGTCTCAAGTGGTTGCCATGCAACATATGCCAACATTTTGCAACAGATTTGTGCCTGTGCCAAGAGCAAACAGGGTTTAACAGTCCACTTGACACTGTGGGATTAACATTCAATTCTATTTGAGAGAGAGAGAGAGAGAGAGAGAGGGATGGGGATTAACTCCAATGTGCAAAAACAAGGTCATTTCGGGACTAACATGGTTTAATTTCATTTCAATAATTCGCTTGCGCGTAGGGGTCTTTAACAGTGGGAGGAAACTGGACGGCCCGGGGAAAACCAACGAGGTTGGACAGGTGACTCTACTCCTTGTCACGTACAACAGGGAATCGAAACCACACCAGTTAACTCAATGACAGACCTATGATACAGCGCGTACGTGCTAACCATTCGGCCATCCAACCCCCCAAAATAGAAAGAAATCAGATACAATAACTGTACGGGTCTTTAGCAGTGCAAGGAAACCAGAGGACCTGGAGAAAACCTCCGAGGTTTGACAAATGACCCTACTCTTTGTCACAAACAACCAGGGAATCTAAACCACACAACTTGACTTTCTGATTCAACTTACACGCGTTAATCGTCTCCCTCCCATCCCCCAGCGCACATGCACGCATGCACACAACTTGACTTGATGACAGACTTTCTGATTCAACTTTGCCCAGATTAGGAGCAGAACAGTAGGATGTTAAACCCCATTTCATTTCATTTCTTTTAAGAGCACGTCAATGTGTACATGGGACCTCAGTTTTTTTCCCATCACAATGATGAGACCCTCTGTCCTGCACCACCAACAAGGGAGAAACCACGCTGGAAAATCGCTATGAACTTTCTCGGCCAACACTAATTGTATGAGAAACAGAGAGTAGACATTGAGAGACAAATTTTATCCCGTTAAGCGTGAAGTTTTTAAAACGCTAACTACCCCCTATTGTGTAATTAATTTGACGAAGTGACGAAGAACTATGTACTATGTTCCAAGAATAGGTTGGGAAAAATACCTCCAAGGCGTTATATTACGCCCTACACACAGTGAGTGGCAATTGTCCAGGACGTTATATAACGACCTATGCACTTGACAGGTTAATAAACCTTTAAGAACATTTTTAGGCCTCTCTTAATTTTTACAGAGAATAAAAAATGCCTGAATGTGTACATGAAAAACGGGTAGGATAATTAACTTCTTCCAAATATCTTCCAAACTCAAGAACTATTTGTTTGGCATATCTCAAGTTTTTCACAGTTGAAGATGTATGGAAAGTCTGAAATAAATCTTTCCCATCAAGAACAAATGAAATTAAATGAAATGGGGTTTGACGTCCTACTCCGAACTGGGCTAATGAAGACGGGCATACACCATATAGTGTGCTATGAGGGAAATTTTACCCGGACAGAGAGACACTACGGCCTACTCTTATATTGAATTCCTACTGTCAAGGGATCTTTTACGGGACCTTGGTTTTTCGTCCCATCTAAACGACTAGACAGCCCTCCGTCGTGCATCACTGACAAGGGGGAACCACGCCGGATAATCTGGATGAACTTTCTCGGCCAATGCAGGGATCGAACACCCGACCTCCAGGCTAGCAAGCCAGCGTCTTACCCACTTAGCCACATGATCCCCCCATCAAGAACAAAGGATAAAAAGATGCCTGAAGCTGACTATGTGAAGATACATGAGAATTAGTCTCTATATATACATGGAAATGTCAGGATTCCAGCTTATTATATATTACATTCATTCATATAAGTTTATTGTTATAAACTTATTGTTTAAAATCAATAATATAGGTTTATTGTTTAAAGTAAATGATATAAACTTTACATAAACTTACAACCGGTACGTGAATTACCTACATACATTATCGAGAAGCAGTGACCATTTTCATATATTTTGTGGAAATCAAACTTTCAAAATGGATTAATAACCATTTGAGTGGAACAAACAAGTACTTTAGCAGTGGGAGAAAACCAGATTGTACAGGCGGCCCTACTCTTTGGCACATACAACTGGGGAATCGAAACCGCGCCAGTTTACTTAATGACAGACCTTATGATACAGTGTGCACATGCTAACCATTCGGCCATACACCCCCCCCACAACCATAAACAGGCTTCATTTCAGTCAAGATTATACACCTCAGAATCAGGCATGGGGAGGCAAGGGGGAGACCTTTCAATTCAATCCCAATAAGTCGGGGAGGGCCTTGGGGGATTGGTGGATGGCCCAATGGTTAGCACGTGTGTGCTGTATCATAAGGCCTGTCACTGAGTCAACTGGCGTGGTTTCGAATCACCGGTTGTACGTGACAAGGATTTGGGTCGCCTGTCCAACCATGTGGGTTTTATCCGGGTCCTCCGGTTTCCTCCCACTGCTAAAGACCCCTACGTGCAAGCGAATTATTGAAATGGAGTTCAGAGAAGAGAGAGAGAAATTGGGTTTAATTCAAAGTCCACTTGACACAAACTAGGTCATTTCGGGACTAACATATGGTTTAATTTTATTTCAATAATTCGCTTTTGCGTAGGGGTCTTTAGCAGTGGGAGGAAACCGGAGGACCCAGAGAAAACCCCTACTCCTTGCCACGTACAAGAAATGGAGTTGAACCATGTGTTAGTCCTAAAATGGTTTCTATACATTTTATTTTTTTCAGATCACAAAAAAAAGAAAAAATCTAGCCAACATCCACCGACAAAAACACTTTCACATTGCAAACTACATAAAGACACAAGAATTCAGGAACTATTCACTGAAATTCAGGAAAGCAAAAACAAAAGAACTAAAGACCATGTCGAGACAATTAAAATAATAATTCGCTCGTACTTTGTAGACTACAAAGATATGGGAACTATTCACTGAATTCAGGCAATCAGAAACAAAGGATCAAAAACAATGATAATCACTTAAATAAAAAATGTGATAATCCACAGAGAAAAATAATATGTTATAGGTGTGTGGGAAATTAATTCATTTTTCATTCTCAAGGCGTCATCTGTTACTGATGGGAGCCCCAAGAAAATCTGTTGGTATGTCCCTGGTTAGAAATAAAATGAAATGAAATGGGGTTTAACTTCCTACTGTTCTGCTCCTATACTGGGCTAATGAAGACAGGCATACGCCATACAGTGGTCCAGCCAAATGATATTGAGTGGTCCAGCCAAATTATATCTAGATGACTAGCCAAATGATATCGAGATGGCCAACCAAATTTTATCAAGTTCTCCAATCCAATAACTAGGACATTTTTGTGGAAAGTACGAATTTATAATAAGAAAAAATAACATTTGTTAGTCTCAAAATAACCAAAGTATTGACAAGACTTAATTCAATCTGATTAAACTACAGATCTATATTTCGTTTCGTTTTTTTATACTTTCGATGGCCTACACTACATGTAGATCTAACAAGTTATAGTGGGAGTTCACGTTCTATGACGTCAGGTACCAAGCAAGCGACATTTATCCTGATTATGTCAGTCATTCGATTGCACGCTACTGGATCTTGACCGATCTGTAGAATATCTGTCAGTGTTTATACCCACAATTCTAACCCTAACCCTTCAGAATAGTTTTAGCCACAATCCACCGTTGTTACAGCTTCAATTTGTACGTTTGACATGTAATTTATAAACCTAACCCGAACCCTAACCTTGAAAAGATATTCTCCAGATGACACAATGATCTAGTATTATTCCATTCGATTAACCAATTAGCGACCGCCATGTATTTTTTATCTACTTTTGCTTTGTTTTGATTTCTATTGCCGCTAATGTCTCCCCACAGATCCGTGCAAAAAAGGTCAAACGCTCGATTCGACAGACCATTTGATTGGCTGACCCCTCATTTCAGGCAGAACACTAGTTAAATAACAACGCTTCCACATCCATGTGTAGTAAAGACAAGTAAAATCGACGTTTTGAACTATAAAAACGAAACAAAATTGGATCTGTGTTTTAATCAGACTGTTCTCTTCTGAGCTTTAAACTAATGATGCACGATTTGCATTTTCTCGGAAAATATCAAATTTCTCTTTAATCTACGTATTATATAATCCGATTGATAAATAAACATTTAAACATGCATTATGCAAGAGCTAAAACTACCTATTGCAGATCTTTCTTTAGGCCTGAAATGTTTTCTAAAGTATTAATTAGACATTAATTAACTGATCCAGGCCTTAATCAACTCTCGATGGCATCAGATTTCTCCAATATTAAATAGATTAGAATGGTTCAGCGATACTTTGATTTAATCAAATATGGAGGACCGAGACTTAGCTTTGATCAACCAGTACGGTGGTTGAAATTATTGCACACGTCTGTCAAACCTTCAAAGGCTAATATCTTTGCTTGCAATAGAGTAATTTGAATGAAATTTTTAAATTATTCATTTTACATCATCTACTGTCGAACTATTATAGCGAGAACGGCTAGTTCTTTATCTAAATCTTACATAATGTATCTTTAATGAAGAAAATATACTGATAATTTAACATTTAACAGTTCTGCTCCGAACTGGGCTAATAAAGACAGGCCTATGCCATAGTGTGCTAGGAGTGAAATTCTGCCCGGATGAGCGGCACTACAGCCTACTCTTGTATCGAATTCCAACTGTCAAGGGATCTTTTACGTGCACGCCAATGTGTACACGGTAACTCGGTTTTCCATCCCATCCGAATGACTAGACAGCTGTCAGAACATTTAATTAAGAAATAAAATCAAAATACTAATCTCCTAACTTGGATTCAATTGGATTAAAGACAGGCCTGTCAATTCTGTTCCCAGGCTTATTACATAGCGAGCAGTATAGATCAATGAAAGTTTCATACTAAATAAAATTGAAATTGAACAATTCTTGGATGGATATTCCTATTAGAGATCTACCTTTCACAAATGTAGTAGTTTGCAACAGTTATCTTAAACATACATTATACAAGAGCTAAATATGCCTATTGCAGGTCTTTCTGTTAGGCCTGAAATGTTATCTAACTTATTAATTAGACATTAATTAACTTATCCAGACCATAATCAACTCTCTATGTCATCGCTAGCCTGTGATATTTAGCGGATTGGAATACATTTTGTGAAGGATGATTAAACGTAAAAATGGATAATTGAGACTTTGGTTTTTATCGTACTGACTTAGTAATGATGATTCAGGCTAGCCCAAAATTCAAAAGGTAATACTTGGTTCAGAGTGAAGCCATTTGACTGAAATTTTCAGCATATTCTGTTTAAGTTATGTAGTTTGTAATTATTATAACGAGAACTATCAGCTCTTTATCTATATCTTACACCACTTTAAAGTCTCAATACCACTCTTGTTGTAACTGAATAATATGCCCCAATCTTTATTCTGGTCAACAAATTGTACTATTTTACAATATTCCAATTAATTGATGATACAAATTTCATCTTAACACACCTTATTTAAAAATTTTGAAAAATTCAACAGAATGGTTTGAAACGTCTAACGTAAACCTTTTCAAATGAAACTTCGATTTAAAAATATTTTCGAACCCTCTGGACAAGTAAAATAGGATGTAATGGATAATTTACACAACAGGTAGGACACTTAAACATCTAGTACTTAGATAGAGATATTTTTTATTTTCTGGAGCTTTCAAGCCAGCAAGAGTGTTATTGTCCCTTTAAGAAAGCAGCCTTTTTATTGGCTAAGGTCAAACAAATTTCTGTTCTTCAGGGTCTTGATAATTATACTTTAGTTTAAAATTTCAAAACTTAAAAATTTAGAATTAAAAGCATATTGGGCAGGCGCATATCCAGAAGCTGGGGAGAGGGGTAGGGGGTGAAAACAGGGGCCCCCTCCCAACCCCTGAGCATACGTCCGTGAACGGTGGAGCAAAGTAATTTTTCTTTATTTTTGTTCATATTTTTAGCCTATTTCAATATTTTTGTCAATATATAGTAAAAAATGACTAGCGATTTGCGACTAATTTTGCAATCACCTGTCTTCAATGGAGGAAAAGTTTGTCCATTTAAACTGAACTCTTAAATATCAAATCTGGTACTTCGCTTCTGTATTACAGATTTCCATGGTAACAGTTCAGGTTTATTATCGACATAGCATGGTGGTATGCCTTCCCCATTTGCAGGCCCTACTGTAACTTCTCAAACTCGTAAGTACCAGGTACCTGTAGGGCCTACTGTAACTTCTCCAATTCTAAATACCTGCAAGGGCTACTGTAACTTCTCCATCTCTAAGTACCTGCAAGGCCTACTGTAACTTCTCCAACTCTACTGTAACTTCTCCAACTCTAAGTACTGACAAGGCCTACTGTAATTGGTATAGCTGTGGTACTCCTTCTCAGCACTCTGTAAATTGAAATCAAGTAATATGTATAAAGACACATTATTCAAAAAATCATTAAAATCCTACAATAAGTTATTATCGTCTAAATTTTCTATGAGTTCCTGACTTCATCTTTTTCTGTCTCAGAACATGATCAAGCTACCTACAGAAGAATAACTTGTTTCTATCCAGTAACATCAAGGTCAAGGTTAGTTCAGCTCTGAACGAAAGTTCCTGTTACACTCGCACTGTATGTTCTGGAACCAGTCTATTGACTCCTTGTCGAAAGTTTTTCTGCCCCCAGTAAATTTTACTGGCAACATTTTACTGGTAAACGGTCACATGTGAACACCTTATAGGAAAATTTTCTGTCCCCAGTAAATTTTACTGGGCAACTTTTTACTGGTCAACGGTCGCATGTCAGTCCCTGTGAGCGCCTGTACAGCATAAAAGAACATTTTAGTGAGAAAATATGACGTTGCTTACCTCACTAGAGTCAGTACGAGCAACAGAGAGAACTATCTACTCTATCTTGAGAATAAATCTCTGCCCTAAATGGCCGCCATATCCAATAATTAGTATACTGTTTTTGTCTTCACATAATTTGATATGTTTAATTTATAGGCTTGAATCTTAATGTTAACTTACACCTGCTACCTGACTACATGTTATTCAAAATGCTGTCCTACTCTCATGGCTCCACATCTGCAACAAAAAGAATAATTAATTTTCTATTTTATTAAATGAAAGCAGATACTTCTCAAAATTCTAAAATATATTTAGTGTTTTCGATTAAAATCGCAGATTTAGTTCTTAAAATGTTGTTCAACTACTTAGTGTCTTCTCACGTGGAGCTAATTATGTAGACAGCCAGTTTAAGTTTAATACGGGGTGACTTTATTTCAGATAATACGGTATGGTAAAAGGGGATTCCCCTTTTCGCATTTCCGATTTTTGATTAAAATTGCAGATTTAGGATTTAAAATGTTGGTCAACTACTTAGTGTCTATTCTCAGGTGGAGCTAATTATGTAGACAGACAGTTTAAGTTTAGTATGGGGTAACTTTATTTCAGATAATACGGTATGGATAAAGGGGATTACCCTTAAACGGTGTCTGATCGGAGAGGACGTAGTGTAGTCCGAACTAATTTGTAAATTGACAATAAAATTATTTCAATGGTATGTACATATTACGCCTGTTTTTCTTAGTATTCTTACGGATGACTTTATTTGAGATAATACGGTATATAAGGGGATTACCCTTTCGTTGACTTCAATAAAAGTATCTAAAATATTCTAGAAATAATTTGTTAATCGGCAACAAAAGTATTTTAATGACACGTTACCTTTAGACAGCCTGTTATCGTCGATGCTGTTATTACATGGTCGGTTTAAACTTAACTTAATTCCAACCAGAACAACCTTTCACACCCTGCGATCATGAAACCAGGATCTATAATACTATTGTCACGAGCCACTTGAATAAGACGCAACTCGTGCCTTGCACCCGCATTTCGCCGCATAAATTCATTCGGCCCACCAGTCGTTTTGTTCTTTTACTAAATGGGTAGGCTATTCCGTCTATATTAATTGACATATACGACAATGGTTTTATCTGTCACCAAATGGTAAGACATTAAGACCAATTTCATTTAATTCAATTTCTGTCTCAAATAGCTGGTGTTTGGGTGGTCGAGTTGTCTAACACAGCGCTAATGGTCATAATTATGAGCAGACGCCATACATGCAGTGTGCTGTGAGTCAACTCGCCCCGATGCCACCCCTTCAATGATAGTAGCGTTCAACTAAATATTAACTTTCATCAGTTTTCTGCACTTTGGATTTTCGGGTAGGCGTGTAAAGTACTTATATCGAGGGGGGGGGGGAGGGGGAAAGGCTGGGGGGGGGGTATTGAACGGGGATGGGCGCAGTGATCAGGTGCAGTTTCCACCGTAACTTTCGCTCGAAATAAAAAATATAAAGCACACCGCACATGCACTTTCTTTTTCTTGAATAAGCCAAATTAAGTGCTTGGTTGCCTATGGATAAAATATTTTTTTGCGACATTTTTCGGACATCGAACATTATTAATTATTTCATCAATTTTTGCGGGAATTGTAATTTTCTTTAAATCGACTGATGCAAAAAATTAAAATCGGTTTAATAAACAGTACCTTAGTATCACTCTGTAGTTAACCTGCGACATTTTTTTTTTTTCGGGCTTCATCATTTTTATTGTTTCATCAATAATTCGGGTATTGTATATAAATTGATTAATGGGTAAAATCTAAAGCAGTTAAAATCAGTGTAATTAAACTATATAGCATCACTCTTGGATTGTCACTCTGCTTTATGTCACATGTGTAGTTCCTCTAGGAGGGAGGGGGGTTGGATGGCTGAATGGTTAGCGTTCGCGCGCTGTATCATAAAGTCTGTCATTGAGTCGACTGGCGTGGTTTCGAATCCCCGGTTGTACGTGACAAGGAGTAGGGTCGCCTGTCCAACCTCGTGGGTTTTCTCCGGGTCCTCCGGTTTCCTCCCACTGTTAAAGACCCCTACGCGCAAGCGAATTATGTAAATAAAATTAAACCATATGTTAGTCCCGAAATGACCTAGTTTGTGTCGAGTGGACGTTAAATATTCTTCATGCTATGGACAGATGAGCGTATTTTTTTACGTCCGATAACAAACGGGCACACGTAGCGATCGTCTCCAGAGCATACGCCACTCTGTGAGTAATTATGTCGATCAAAATGGCAGCCATTTCGAGATCATGTGATATAAACGATGTCGATGATTGGCTTATAAAAATGAATCGCCCGATAATATACGCTGGGCACGGGCACACAAGTGAATTTAATCGCCGGCGAAAAATATTCGGCCGAAAATATCTAACATGCTAGATACGAGCGACTGATCCGGCGAATAGTTCGCCGAGCAGAATCGTCGTCGCCTTGAAGGGGCACACAGGCGTATTTTTCGAGCGATTTTAAAAATCGCTGCGATCGGGTGAAAAAATACGCTCGTCTGTCCCCCACTTAATCAAGAACAGATAAAAAAAACATTCCAAAACCATTTTCGCATTGCCGACTACACAAAGGATAGAAGAGAGTGAGAGAGAGAGAAATGGGGTTTAACACCCACTCGACACAAACTGGGTCATTTCGGGACTAACATATGGTTTAATTTTATTTCAATAATTCGCTTGCGCGTAAAGGTCTTTAGCAGTGGGAGGAAACCGGAGAAAACCCACGAGGTTGGACAGGCGACGCTACTTCTTGTCACGTACAACCGGGGATTCGCCAGTTGACACAATGACAGGCCTTATGATACAGCACGCACGTGCTAACTATTCGGCCACCCAACCCCCTAGTTCCTTAGCAGCAATATGAAAATTCTCAGGCTATTTTGGAACCCTTACCTTCTGTTTTTCACGGTGAGTCTTTATTTTTCGCAAAAATATCATTTCTCAACATATCTGAATCTGACACAAATTTATAAAAATTCAACACTTTTCAAGTAGAATTTAGCGATTAAATAAACATGCGGTCTGCGACTGAATTTTGAGCCTAGTCTCGATCATCATTACTAAAGTCGGTACAATAAAATACATAGTCTCGATTATCCACTTCTTGATTTAATCATTAATGAGCGTAGAGCAGCAAATATGATCCCAATCCAGTAAATATCGCAGGCTAGCGATGACATCGAGGGTTGATTATGGTCTAATTAATGTCTAATTAATAATTTAGATAACATTTCAGACCTGTAGGCAGATTTAGCTCTTACATAATGTATGTTTCACAGAGGACTACGAAAGCGGCCTAGCGAATATTCACTGCTGATCAGTTTGAACTCATGCCCTGCTTTTTATTGGCTGGGTTGATTTCGGGGTTGTACATGTATTTAGTTACGAGAAATACATTGTGTGACATGACGACATATTTTGTGAGTACGTGGAATTTTAAAATCACAAGTTTTATATTTTAAGCCGCGGTAAGCTATTTTATTTTCGGTTACGTTTCTTTATCAAGATTGTTTTGTAGCTAATTATGGTTCTTTTTGATTCCCAGAACGTTGAAATTGTCATCAAATTTTACCTGTAATATATCGTTTTAATCCTTTTGATTTACTTCCTATTAGATCTTTTTACCACGAGAGACACTCTACCTTCTTACTGAACACCTTATACCACTGCACATTTGGGGAGTTCATATAGCTAGCATTTTATTTATGTCACTGTTGTGTTTTACATTTCATCGGTTCTAATGTCTTTAGCTTTTTTAAATCCATAGTTTTATTTACAAGATTGACCAAGTTGGTATGCATAAATGTTTGCATTATAAAAAGGTTTTCTAAGAATTAGCTCACCAACCGTTGCTATTTATATTATTTGGGTAATACCTCATGCCTTTTAGAGCATGACGCCAGCTTACATGTTGCAATATGCTGATATCATATCGAGCAATCTAAGCGGGTAAACTACGATAATAACTCTACTTTCTTACTGAACACCTTATACCACTGCACATTTGGGGAGTTCACCCTTAGCAAAAAGTCCTACAGAATAGCAGTGTAGAATTCTATAGAAAATCTATAGAGTTTTTTGGGGGGCGTGTCCCATGTTCTATAGGATAAAATTCTATAGTATTCTACAGAATTTTGGGGGCCTGTAGGAAATAACGGCCCCAAATATTCTACAGTTTCTGTAGCGCACATCCTATAGTTTTTCCTACAGATTTATGGCAAAATTTCTATAGGAAAATACTGTAGTATTCTATAGGTTTTTTTTATTGCACTTTCTGTAGGAAATTCTGCAGTTATGTATAGGAATGAATACTGTAGTGTTCTGTAGTTTGGAAATTGGGCCACTATAGTTTTCTGTAGGAATGGGTACTATAGAATTTTATAGACTTTTTTTTATTAAATCTTATTTTGGGAATAAATATAGTTGGTCCATGATTTCTTCTAAATTGATAAGCTTATTTTTCTCTCATGGATTCTTCTAAATTGATAAGCTCATTTTTTCTCTCATGGATTAATCTGAATTCTGTTGATGATTCTTTTCTTGGTAAAACTGAAATATAGGGAAAAGAATAGGTAATAAAGTTAAATAAATAACAAAATCACATAAATCTTATCTAATAAAAGTAATTTAATATTATTGTTAAGAAAGTAATAAAGTATACTTATCTTTCTATCTTTAATCGACTCTGTGAAAACACACCACCATTCTCTTCAGTTTCTTGTTAATACTAAAGTTGTTATACACTGAATTTTTGAATTTTAAATTCAGCCAATGGCCAAACAGATTTCAAGAGAGTACATTGGCTGTTAATTATGGTTTGTCGACAGGTATTCGCGGTTGACAGAATCTGAGTACAGAATCTGCTATAGTCATTAAAATCTAAATAAACTGTGTCTTTATTTCATTGACTTCTGAAGAATAATTTATTATCTGATATTTTTGTTGTGAACATCTACATTTACTGGCATTTTTTGGAGGGTGGGGTGGGGAATTCCTTTGAGTGTCAACGTGTATCACTATTTCATTCATATTAAATACACTATTTTATACTTTATATTTTATTTTTCGTGAAAAGCTTATTTTAGTTTGTCATTCGGTATCACAATAAATTAAGGAAAACTGCATCCAGGAAAATTATGTTGAAAAAGTTTACATTATTCACACAAGTGAATCACTAAATTCTATTGTAAACTATAGTATGAATAAAAGACATCGCCAATTTATGAAATCTGTAGTATAGAACATTGTTTCTACAATATTATGTAGGAAACTATAGTAGGCTATTTGTTAAAATGGTTTAAGTACAGTATACATATAAATTCTTAGTTTTCAACAGAATGTCATAGACAACTATAGGAATATACTACTGACTTGAGACAATAAGTTAGTTCTATACAAAACTATAGTTTTTACCACCAAATCTATAGGAATCACAGCTGACATGAGAATACAAGTTAGTTATATAGCAAACTATAGTTTTTAGCACAAAGGCTATAGAAAACTGAAGGATTACTCATCTGACTCGAGGATACAAGTTAGTTCTACAGAAAACTATTGCAGCACCAATGAATCTGTAGGTTTATTTTTTTTCCAATAGTTTCTTACAGTATTCTATAGAATTCTATAGGAAATTACACTTGGAAAATATTCATCTACCAATCCTACACAAAACTATAGTACATGTTTTTGAATCTATAGTCATATAAAAAAAAATACAGAATGATTTCGTTTTCCTGCAGCATTCTATAGCATTCTATAGAATCCCACAAACTTCTATAGAAACGTGTACTTTTTCTATAGGACTTTTTCATAAGGGCATATAGCTAGTATTTTATTTATGGCACTGTTGTGTTTTACATTTCAGCGGTTCTAATGTCTTTAGCTTTTTTAAATCCATAGTTTTATTTACAAGATTGACCAAGTTGGTATGCATAAATGTTTGCATTATAAAAAGGTTTTCTTAGAATTAGCTCATCAACCGATGCTATTTATACTCATTCTGAACATCTGAGACACGCTACCTGCGGAGAAGTATCTCAGATACAATCAATAGCCATGATATCCATATCACGTGATCTACACATCACAGGTCATGACATTGACGTCAATGGGTCATGAGGTCAACAACCCGCTACATTGTACACAATAAGTTTATCTTCAGCATTGTGTCCTTTGCACCCATAAAGACTATATAATTCGTACAGTCCCAACATGTTCTCTCTTCTTCCAAAGATTTTTCACAAAAATAACATCTACAACTCATAGAATTGACGTTGTCTTCAATGACAGCGCACACGAATGGTTGTTCATAGAGGCTAGCTGCCATCTTGGCACTATTTTGTGCGTCGGTCGTGTCTATTTCAGTTATACACAATCAATTCTGTTGATGTTTGTAGCGTTGGGATTGACTAATAGTTAATTTATTTCAGTTCTAAAACAAATATTTTAAACTTTAACGCAAATTTAGAAAATAACCAAATTCTGGCTGGGATTACTGAGCAAAATGGCCATTCACTGTATACGTGCGAAAAATAAAGCTAGCCACCAATTAAATTTTCGTACGTTAGTTACGTGCGATTTATACTATTTGGGTAACACCTCATGTCTATAGCGCATGACGCCAGCTTATCATTGAAATATGCTGATATATCGAGCAACCTAAGCGGGTAGATTACGATAAAAACTAGGGAAGAGTATAGCTGCCAATATTAAATTCTCTGCTAAAATGTCTTTTCCATTGTACAAAGTCCTAATACCGGTAATGATCAGGTCAAAATATCTCCAAGACCAAAGTTAAATGTAAAACGTCAAATGCAATGGGTAAAATGTTTTATTGGAAAATGCTGTTTTGACGTGTCTACATTTGACATTTTCCAGGTGGGTTAGATGGCCGAATGGTTAGCACGTGCACGCTGTATCATACATAAGTCCTGTCATTGAGCCAACTGGCGTGGTATCGATTCCCCGGCTGTACGTGACAAGGAATAGGGTCGTCTGTCCAACCTCGTGGGTTTTCTCCGGTTTCCTCCCACTGCTAAAGACGCCTACGCGCAAGCGAACTATTGAAATAAAATTAAACCATATGTTAGTCCCGAAATGACCTAGTTTGTGTCGAGTGGAAGTTAAACCCCATTTTCCCCCCTCTCTCTTGGCATTTCCCTTATCACATTTTACATTTGCGTTCTGTCGCATCTCATTTGTCCTTCACGCTTAGTACATAGCATGTTACGCACAGCATCAACTTTTATATGCAAATGAGGCTTGGGAGGGGGAGGGGGGTCCGGGCGGGGGCAGCCAGTTGCAGTTGCCACCGTAACTTTCGCTCGAAATAAAAAATATAAAGCTTACTGCACATACACTTTCTTTTCCTTGAATAAGCCAAATTTAGTGCTTGGTTGCCTATGGATAAAATATTTTTTGCGACATTTTTCGGACATCGAACATTATTAATTATTTCATCAATTTTTGCGGGAGTTGTAATTTTCTTTAAATCGACTGATGAAAATCGGATTAATAAAATGAAAATCGGTTTAATAAACAGTACCTTAGTATCACTCTGTAGTTACCCTGCTTTATGGGCGACATTTTTTTTTCGGGCTTCATCATTACTTGTTACATCAATAATTCGGGTATTGTATATAAATTGATTAATGGGTAAAATCTAAAGCAGTTAAAATCAATGTAATAAAACTATATAGCACCACTCTTGAGTTGTCACTCTTCTTTATGTCACATGTAGTTCCTCTAGGAGAGAGAGAGAGAGAGAATGGGGTTTAACGTCCACTCGACCCAAACTAGGTCATTTCGGGACTAACATATGGTTCTATTTTATTTCAATAATTCGCTTGCGCATAGAGGTCTTTAGCAGTGGGAGAAAACCGGAGGACCCGGAGAAAACCCACGAGGTTGGACAGGCGACCCTACTCCTTGTCACGTACAACCGGGGATTCGAAACTACGCCAGTTGACTCAATGACAGGCCTTATGATACAACACGCACGTGCTAACCATTCGGCCATCCAACCCCCCTAGTTCCTCTAGGAACTGTCTCTGTCCGGACGATGTCCGCTTACAGTTGCTACCCCTTCCAATATAGCAGTAATATGAAAATATGGTAAATTCACCCACCTCTGTTCTCAGGCTATTTTGGAACCCCTACCTTCTATTTTTCACCGTGAGTCTTTATTTTTCGCTAAAGGAATCATTTCTCAACATATCTGAATCTGACACAAATTTATAAAAATTCAACACTTTTCAAATAGTCTCGATTATCCACTTCTTGGTTTAATCATTAATGAGCGTAGAGCAGCAGGTATGATCCTAATCCTGTAAATATCGCAGGCTAGCGATGCCATCTAATTAATGTCTAATTAATAATTTAGATAACATTTCAGACCTAAAGAAAGACCCGCAATAGGCAGATTTAGCTCTTGCATAATGTATGTTAAAAAGATATCCCATTTGGTCTT